CAAATCTTCAAGTTTTCAAATTCATATTTTTATAGCTTTACCATGAACATAAAAATACAACAGTGTTTGTCTTTTATGAGAGATGCTGAACTTATATCTCCCCAACAATGTTTCTCAACCTCAACGTTTGATACGGTGGAAACCGCTCCATTCCTACTTCTCGTATGTATATTCATACAAATATTCTACACATAACATATGCAACAATATATTCACACATTTTTGCATTGTAAAAAAAAAAGACAACTCCATTTCAAATATGAAAACATTAAAGTGCAATGGTTTAGGTAAGGTGCTTTACTGAAGGGAGGCAGAAGAGGATCTCCTCTTTACACCGAACCTCCCAATAACCTCCTTCTGCTCCTCTCACAGTGCCGAGTGAGAGAAAGAGGGAGAAAGAGATAGGGGGTGTGGACAAATATTGCCCGCCCCTTCCCTCACTGAGCAGTGCACATTCCTCTGCTGATTTGCTCCAGGTTTAAGGCCTCAGGTAAACTCAAGTAGACAGGCTGGGTCAGTAATCCTCCACCTGCTCCAGCTCACCTCCCCCAAGGAATGAGTAGCCTGCGGAGGTGGGAAACAGGAGAACAGAGGTTGAGAGGTCTGAGGGTTGACTTTCTACAAAAAATTTCCCATCTGGGAGTATACTAATGGCTAATTCATAAACATTGCTTGTACTTTTTTCCTTTGAAGCAGGGCAGAAAATGCTTTTCAATAAGTACATCAGTAAATAGATCCTCTTTGCTAGATGAAGAAATCACTATGACCCAGACAGCAAGAATTTGACAAGGAGCCAGAACGCAGATTAAAACAACAGTAGTTCAAGGGTTATTCTCAATAATGTATGCATGCTGATGGGAAAGGTGAATGTAACCCAGCAGGGGTTTGTGAGTGTTCATGCAAGCGTGCACGCTAACCGAGGATACTGGGGTCAGAATGGAGCATCATGCTAGGCTTTTTCTTCGCTTTTCCTCCCTGAGTGTCATACACACTGCCGCCCTTACTCATATGAGCTGCCTGGAACATTGACTGCAAGGAGAAAAACCAGGAATACTTTAAACAATGGACTAATATATAAATATTAAAACTAATATTGAAAATATTATGGCATGTTTTTTTTTTAAAGAATCCAGTAAAACCATATGCATCTACCTGCAGGGGGAAGTTCATGTTCAATCCAGAGACTTCCTTGGACAGCTGTGGAAAGTTTCAGTACATCAAGACTCACCCAGTGTGCAAAAAAAAAAACAACAACAAAAAAAAGCAATGTGCTTTTAAGAATTAAACGTTGAACAAGAAAAATCGTAATTCGCAAACCTGTTGCTGTTGTCTCTGGTGGTTTGCTTTCTGTTTGGCACGGCGCTCCAGGAACTGCTTGGCAAACTCTTTGGCTTCAATGGTATCGCCCAGATAAATGCGGATAAAATCATGAACTTCATATGGAGACTCCACCTCCTTCAGATATGCCACAATGGTGGACACTACAGAGAGAAATAGAAGCATGATAAATTTAATTTCAGCTCCTTTTGGAGAAAAGAGCAGAAAAAGAAGCAAACGGCAGATGTGACGTTTACCATCCAGTGAAGAGGAGTTATTTGCAGAGGTGTTGAGAGCATGGAGCATCTGTTCACACCAAGTGGTGAAACCGTCCTGAGGTTTCATCCCCTGAAAAAGCTTCAGAAGTCTCTCCTCATCGTCAGTACGCTTACGCCGATTCAGCAGGTACTGTTCACTGAGAACACAGACACGTTTGCGGTGAACATTGTGTGTAAAAACATTGGTTTAAATGGAGAGGTAAATTGTGTGAGTGCAAATGTTTGTACCTGAGAGAGGGACTGCTGCGGCTGTTCTTCAGGCCAATGTTGCGATGGCTGGCCTGGTTCTTCATGGCCTCATCCCACATGCCCATTGCAGGGTTGCCACCGCCGACCTTCCCTTCCATGCCAGCTCCAGACCACATCCCAGATGGCCCATCACTCCACTGGCCCATTGTCAAACCTCCATGCTGAACGAAACAATGCTATAATGAACTAAAATAACAGCAACCCATTCGAGGAAGACCTCTTGAAACACAAGACCAAACTATTTGCCAGCCATTCAAATGCATATTAAACAATTCACTGCTCATGTGGATGTCAAGATGTTTTTACCCTTTGCTGCTGCTGAGCTCTCTGCTGCTGTTTGTGAAGTCTCTCTGCCTCCAGCTCCAGGAGTCCCATGCTCTTTCCGGTAGCTTTGCCCAGAGACAGAGCTCCTGCCTGGCTTCCGCTCCACCCTGCGCCCCCTGGCATGCTCTGCTGCTGCTGGCTCTGCTGCAGAAACTTCATGATCAATTCCTGCTGCTGACGGCACTGCTGTAAAACACATTAACATTCAAATGTGTTACACATCGTAAACATTTAAGTGTGCAACAGTCGTAGCCTAGTGTGAGAGTGCGCTCACCTGTTTTCGTCTATAAAGCTCCTCCTCCTCTCTCCTCTTCTGTTCCTCCTGCTGCCGGCGCTTTTCCTCCCTCCGTTTCCTCTCCTCTTCTTCACGCTTCACCCTGAGTTCAGCTTCACGCCTCTCCTGCTGGATCTAGCACACGGGCAGCACACGCTCAATTACCGAAAGAGTGATATGGGTGAAGTTTACACATTCAATATGACATGTGATACCTAGAAGAGTGATTAATTAGTGACATTGCAGTCCTGCTGAAGACCAAAGTATACTTTGGTTTTTACGTATACGGTATTCGTATAGTGCGTGTTACGTAAAATTCTTCATAAGTATAGTACACATGTACTGTAAGCATGCAGCTTAATTTTTATAACCGTATTCTGTCCGCAAGTTGGCAAAACTACCCTGACCGGCTGTTTCGAAAAAAGAAACAGATTATACAAAAAAAAAAAAACCCTACTGGAGACGGCAATAGATGCCTACGATAATGAACGCTTCTGGAGAGTAATAGCACAGACACCGGACAAGATCCAGGCTATGCACTCAACTGTACACATTTGCTAAACATTCACATCAAAAACGAAGTACTTTGGGTTTTAGTCATCAATGAACCCTTGTTCAAGACAAGACCAATGTACTCTAACAGGACTTACTGTTTTACTATAGTATATGTTGAATGACACTTTCAAGATTACATAAGTTACGTACTTTCTGCAAATGTTCAAGAGTTGGACCCTGAGTGGAGTTACTCATGGTTAAGTCCCACAGACTGGTCTCGCTGCCTACAAAACAGAAAAACCAGTGGTGTAACAATAGCACTTCACAAAATAAAGTGGCTATTACAAAGCATCAATGCAGCTGGTATTACCTGACTGCTGAGAGACTGAGGTAGGCATGTCCCACATGGGCCCGGTGTCTGGCACTGACATGGACCTGTTCATCGCAGGCATCATCCCAGTCTCCCCACACCTGAGACCCAAACACATCACTCACAAACCCAAAACACAAGTATATACTTGGTTGGCTGATGCATAATTTGCAAGTCGGTGATACCTGTTCATGTGCTGAAATCTCATCTGAAGTTGTTGGTACAGGGCTGCAGTGGCAGCTTGTTCTAACTGTTTCTTCAATAGCTCCTGGTCCATGTTCCCCTAAAGCAACAGAAAAACAGACAAAAAAAGTTGTACTTCCATCCAACTTGAATACTTTAAACTTTATTTTTTTTAAGGATTGGATAGTAGAGAACATTCAGGAAATGACGAAGTAGGATATGGGAAAGGGAAAAAGCCTTAAAAGGAAGCGAATTTGGGTCGCCTGTAACATGACCTCAATATCTCGGAGCACTGCCCTGATAGGTTAAAGATCTGACAACTACTTGAATATTTTACAAAAGCAACAAGCAACTCAAGGCTGTGCTTGATTTGACCATGGTTAGGGGTTTAAGATCATGGTAAAAATCATTGTAACACAAAGCCCTGAGTGGCTTAATACTAATACATAGCACAAAGCATCATCAAACCCAATTCTGGATATTTCCTCACCAGAAGTGGAGGAGGGGAGGGGCCGGGAGAGAAAGGCACACGCCCCCACATCTTGATGACTTCACCCAGGGGCTGAAATCCCTCATCACAGCCACGTTTGACCAGTAGGTTCATGGTGAAATACCCCGCCTGAAACCACTCACACATCTCCACTGTAGTGAATGGACCTGAAAGAGAGACAACCAATACAGCCCACCATTTTATGCTGCAATGAACAAATAAAAACCCTCCAAGATTGACGTGGTAGTGAGAAATACCTTGAATCTCCCCTTGAGGGTCTTTATAGAACCACTTCATTGCTGATTCGTGGGACAGGGGCAGAGCACTGGCGCTGGAGTGCGGGAGAGTGTGTGGGGTTGAGTGAGAGTGTGTGTGTGCATTCGGGTGTGTGTGAGTGTGTGCCGCAGTGATGTGGCTCTCCTGAAGCGCTTGAGTGAAACATTCCTCTTCAAGGGATGTGTCTTGCAAGGACGCCACCATCTTCTCAGCCTCCTTTAAAAGACAGATTTACTTTTTAGTTTGAGCTTCTATCATAAGAATGTAAAGCAATAAAATAAGCAAACACACACTGACCTGCTGAAGGTGCTTCATGCCATCTTCCTCTTCTGTGTCTCCCCCTACTGTTGGAAGGTCAGTGCCAGTGGTTGAGAGAGGAGAGGAGCTCTGCGTCTGTGGTGTGGTGCTACCTGCTGGAGGTGCATCTATAGAAACAAATCTCGTCTTAGTCCAGTGTTGTTTTCCATTGCATGTTCTTGGAAAAAAAGGTAGGGGGAAATCAGAAAAAGAGTACCTTCAGCTGGTTGGGGTGCAGGTTTTGAGGGAGGAGTGACTATGGGTTTGGGAGTCTCTTCCTCTGCAACAGGGTGCACAGGGGCAGGAGCAGACACAGCATGAGGAGATGATGACTTTCTATCGCCATCACACACAGTTATTGCCTCACATGCTTCCGCTGAAAAAAGAAGAGAGGCGAATTTAGAAAACAGCAAAAAAAAAATAAAATAGTGAGGCAACACTTTCACGTGAGAAATAGAAGACGCTAATGGTTTAATGTTCTATCCTGGTCAGAGCAGGAGACATGATGCAGAACAAAAGGCAACAGTCACCTCCTGCTAAACGTGCTGGATACAACATTAAATCAGATTATTTTCTTAAAGAGTTTTCTTACATTTATCAGCAGGGCTGTCCTTCTTCTCCTGACCACCCTCCTCTTCCTCCTCCAGAGCCTCAAATTCCAGTTCCTGGTCTTCAGGGATTGCATCTCTGGAGCTTTTCTAAAGGGTCACACAAACATGATTGAATCTATTTCTTTCTTTTATTTACTTAACAGGAAGTTACTTAACAGACATTGACATTTTTTTTGAAGCAGCAAACCTTGATGCACATGAAGGCTCCAGAAGAATCAAAGGTTCCCATTTCCCCTTCTTCTTCATCGGTGCACCACTCAGGCAGGCCATCTCGTTCGTCCTCTCCTCCCTCACTTCCAGCCCTTCTCCGTCCACCTTCTCCATCTCGGAAGTCAAAGTCAAACTTCCTACGACGGCCATCCCCACTGCTGTGATCCCGCCAACCTGCTGAACGAGGACCCCCATCTAGATGAAGGAAAAGATCAGTTAAAAAATTCAAATAAATAAAATAATAATAATAATAATAAAAAATAAAAAAAACAGAAGTGAAAGTACCATCACGACGACCTCCAGCAATCCTCCAGCTTCCCCCAGGTTCTGCTCCATCATCGTCCTCCTGCTCTTCTCTGAGTATACGCCAGTTATCACTGTCTGAGCGTGCATAGTCCTTCCTTCCTCCTGCTCCGCCCTCCTCAAAACCACCACGCCCACCATCACGCCTCAATGGCTTTTCAAAGCGCCGCTCACCTCTGAAACAGCAAATACTAATGATCAGCATAACAGAACTTTTAAACATCTCAAATTTATTCTGAGAGTGGCTGTTCATTCTGTACCAATGTTTTGACAAATTTAAGTTACAAAAATGCAAGTTATAAACATACTGATATTCAGACAAACATGTACATCATATACAAAACTTAATGTACAAATGACTGTAAAGCCTAACCTGTCATCCCAGCTCTGACTGCGGTGCATCTCTCGTCCTCGGCCAAAACCGACCTCTTCATCCACACTTCTTTGGTAGAATCCACCCTCTCCTCTGCCTCTCCCTGCAGACAAACAAAAAATGATTAAAATGCCTTTTTTAAATATTATCCCATTAACAATATCAATACTATGCATTTAATAATGTACTACATTTCTTGAAAACAAATGAAATGTGACTTGGATATTTCTTGCGATTCACCCAAATGTATGCAGCACATTGTAATCATGATTTGTAATTATTTACAAAAGATGAAGAAACGCATGTAACTGGAAGGACGATCTTCACCATAGTCAACATGACACACACAAAACAAATCATTTATTTATTACTCATGAGTCATGTCCATTCTGAAATTATTTATTAAAGTTAAAATGTTATTTCTGCACTAGCATCAACAAAAGGGTTGGTCTACGAAAATGTCATCTCTGCAACACCATTGGTCACAACCCACCTCGACCACCTCGAGTGCTTCCACGCCCTCTAGCTACACCTGCTGGTACAGTTCCACCTCCTTTACCCATAAGCCTTAGCACAGCCACACTGTTCACAGACATGGAGAAGTTTCTCTGAAAAGTGAGAGAATTTAAGTGAAAAAGTTGACTGACATGCATACAAAAAAAAAAAAACCAATATTACTGTTATTATCCAAAGAAACATGGATGAAATTTGCCTCGTGACCACTACACTATGCATCAGTGAAGCCAGAGAAGAGTGGACTCACCTGCTCCTCCTCAGTCAGGGGCACCAAGGCCAACGGCTGCTGAGGCTCTTCCTGCAGGACAGCAGCAAATTCCTTATCCTGCATGTCCTCAGGGATCTAAACACACAAACAAAACCTCTATTAAGTATGTAATTGGCAAACAATTATTGATTCTTATATTAACACTTGAACTACAATAATGAAAAGGCTCTTGATGTAAACAGGTGGTTTGTTCGGTTTAATTTATTTTACTTTACTGCAGGAGTTCCTCACCTTGTTATCTTTGACATAAAGTGCTAACATCTCCTCGCGGCCATAGCGGTAGTCGGCCAACTTGGACTTTGGCATTGCAGGGGAAGGGGGAGGGGACGTCACACTCCCCCCTCTGGATAGTGCACGGAGCCTGAAGAAAGCAGACATTGCCATAATTATTTCCATCACCCATTTAAAAACAATTAATCAATCTGGATTCAAGATTGTGTATATGCAGAAAATGATAGGAGAGATTGATCTTTTATTTATAAATTCACAAAGATCACAAAGAAAGGGGAAACATCTGTTTCCTCCTGTTGACACTTATAGGGAAGTAGGACAGAAAAAAAAACAACAACGAATGTGGCAGTTCATAAATTTACTGCACACCAAATAATCAGGGGAAAAGTCAGATCATCCAAAACAAATTTTAAAAGTGTTTATCAGGTCAAGAAACCTGCAACTTTGAGTTTCTCAGTTATGTTTTAGTTTTGTTTTTAGTGGTGCTGCATTAGTTAGAAATCAAATCAATGAAAGAAGAAAAAAAAGAGTGTTCCTCCAACATTCTGCCAAAAAGTTTTTTTGTTGGTCAAAACCCTAAATATTTGGCGAGTGCCAAATGCAAGTAAAAATTGGTTTTGGCAAGTAAAGGATGGTAGAGGAGGGACGGTAAACAAGCAGAGGGATGGTAACTAAAACAGTTTCATTAGGTAAGAGCTGCGTCAGAAAATGAAAATGATTTTTGGGCAACGTATTGAATTTTGGATCATGGCTCCACATTTCCTGACCAAAAATGCACACCTGCAAGAAAGAGCATTAATTTGAAGTAATACTATCTGAAATACGTATATTACCATTCTGGACCGAAGTTAAGTGTCTCAGCAGTCATATTCTGTATGTCCAGAGGGCTCAGGGTTTCTGTTAACCAAAGGAAAAACAAAACAAAAAATCTAAACAAAACATTGAGGTTTTTGAGTCTCATTTATCATAATCAGAATTAGGGATGTCAACGATTAATCGATGATCGATTAATTGCCGATAAGAGATGCAATCGATTAAAGCTATCGATGGTCGATTAAGCAGTTTAATTTTGGGCTGCCTGCGGCTCATGCTCAAAACACGTGCGAGCGGCTGTGAGTGACGGTGATGATATAAATGCATCATCATTCACTCATAATTACAAATTAAGCTTTTAATGTGATTTAAACTTTAAAAGTACCTTAAAATAGAAACAACACAACGTTCTTCAACATGGAATGCAATAGAAATGTAGTAATAGTCATTTCCCCAGATAATTGTTTCATATTTGAAACAATTAGGTGAAGGTTGCAGAGACGCATTTTGCTGCATTAAAGTTAACGATTAATCGATTAATTTATTGTTAATTTAAACGACGATCGATCGTGGAATTTATCGAAAATTGACATCCCTAATCAGAATAAACACACCAAAATGTGAGATTAAAACGATACAACAAGCATGTCTTGCTTACCTTGTCCAAAGAACAGGACTGTAAAGGACCAGTATCAACACGGGACAGGAATGAGGTGGTTCTGTCACAGAACCGGTACGGTGGTTCTGTATACTGAGGTGGACTTAGTAATTCTAAACTCTGTATGAATATTATAATAGCTGCCAGTTTCACAGAGATAACGGCTGATGAATATCTAGCCAGATATAAGAGCTCCAAAAGATGGCACAACACCGTAACGTGCCAGTAACTTCAGATCTTTAAAAAAAAAAAAGATTCAGCAATTTGAAAACACTTTAGAGAGAAATAGAGGGAAAAAAACACACTATGATTAAGAATTTGTGGCAGCATAAATAACAGCAACTGCTGTTTGAAAAACTTTCAGGGCAGTTTGTAATGCCGTAACTATTGCTGGGCAACTCTTCTCTCAATTCTTGATCTCTTTTACTTCTATTCTGAATTTTTGTGAGTTATTGTTTCATAGGCAAGCATTCAGCTCCCAACTCCTCACACCTGCAGAGAAAAAAAAAATACTGAGCAACACTGATTGCTTATAGTGCAAAATATAAATGCATGCGCATTACATGCATCCTTAACTAGGCAGAATACGGTATTGCTGGAACACCACTCTCTCGTGAACGTGCATACAACAGTTAGTGGAAGCTAGAGATTAAAGTTTTAAATATAGATATTTTTCTAACACAGGTGCATTGATTCGCTTCAGGAGGACTTTATTCAACCCCGGAGCCGCGTGGAGCACTTTTTATGATGGATGGATGCACTTTGGACTATTGAAAAATAACACCCATTCACTGCCATTATAAAGCTTGGAAGAGCCAGGACATTTTTTAATATAACTCCAATTGTATTCGTCTGAAAGAAGAAAGTAATATAAACCTAGGTTAGCTTGAGGGTGAGTAAATCATGGGCTAATTTTCATTTTTGGGTTAACTATCCCTTTAATGGAAAGACTGGATGGAATATTTTTACATTTAAAAACTATTTTATCACAGGCAGTGTTATGTAAGTATTATTTAGCCTATATACTATTATAGTACTTATTAATATTTTAAATAAGCTTTTTTAATTTTTCTGTTTCTTTATTTTTTAAATTTTAGTACCTAAATTTTGAGTTAGTGGCTAAGGGAGCATTTATCATTTTCAATTAAGTTTATATACATATATAAAATTAATCAGCTTTATTTCAGTTGAGTTTTAGATTTAGTTTTAGTTAACAATAACAACATTGATCACAGGACTATTATACATTTTGCATACTTACTGATCTATCACTTAAAATTATTTTAAAGGGGTCATATGATGCGATTTCAAGTTTTCCTTTCTCTTTGGAGTGTTACAAGCTGTTCGTGAAAGGCGGGGCATAGAGGACCTACAATAATGTACAGTATTTGAAAAATAATGTGTTTTTTGAACATTAAAGCATGTCAACATATTCGGTTACACCAAATACACAAAATAATGATCTTTAAAAAAGCATCATATGACCCCTTTAATAACAGTTTCAACAGCTCAAGTAGGCCTATACAACTTCTGTTACATGCAAATATAAATAGGCTTATAACATTTATTTAGTTAAACCTGCTGTATTTTAACTACTTATGATTAATCCACTGAATCCCAGATTTTTTCCCAGCTAAGTGAGCACATATAAACAACAAGAGTCCGAAACTGCTTAGTTTCTCAAAAAGACCTAGTAGCAAACAATAAAGTAACAATGTAATATTTAACTTACAGGCAATTGTGGTGACAATCATACATACATTTCCTATAAATTTAACAATAAAATCTACAATTTTAGAATGTGTACCAAAAAGTTACTTAGTTAAACGTTCTTGATATTTTAGTAGTAGACCCATCAAATATTATATGAACCAAATATAGCAGTTTTATCTGTATTTCATATACTTTACGATTTCGACAAGGACACCTTTCAGAGGGGCAATGAAACAGCTCTGGTTATGTGTCCATTAACACAAACATGTAAAAATGTACACGAAATCAACTTATTTTGCACTTTCTTTATAACTGACACATTTGTGTAAAAACATCAACAAATGCGTTTAGACACATCAAACTCGGCAATAGTTACAAAATTAGCTGGTGGGATTAAATGGGTTAACACTTTGCTAAAGCCAAAAAAGGAAGTTATAGGCTAGTTCAAGTTATAGTTCAGCATCTTAATAAAGTCCACAAGCAGCAGCTCGGCTCAAGAGTAACACTCGTCGCGCTGTTATACAACAAGCCTGAAACTGAGAGGCGTTTTCTAATGAATGCTAAGAAGTAATCTAATTCTAAACAACGAAACAAGTCTGAGAAGTTTTAAGGAGACCAAGAGCAGGAAACGCAGCAGTAACCTCTCAAATATGCTGGCGCTGCGCCCTCGCGCCTCGCTGCAAGGCCTTCACTAACGTTACTCCACTACGAGCCCCTCAGCCATCTGACTTAGCACGATTAACGCTAACGACATAAATGTGTGATTATCACAAAAATGTTGTTACCAGCCAATGCACAAAACACACTTCCCATTAAAAAAGTTGAAAATGATTCAGCACGCACCTTTTCTGCGAGCCTGCTGGCCAGCTAGGCTAAACTAGCCAGCCACTGTTTTCTCCAGAGTTGGATCTTCTTTAAAGAACTCACTCGTTCTGCACCGACGGTCTGAACTACTGGTGTGTCTCTGTTTTCAACACTTGTCTTGTGTGAGCTCGATGCCGAATTGTTTGTCTATTTCCCCCCTGTATCTGCAGCGGTCGCAATGAGTTATTCTGTCTCGCTCGGTCGTCTTGTTGTTTGTGTTTTACAAAAATGGCTGTTGGACATGAACCACCTGAGAAATTCATCCAATGAACCGCGAGGCTCTTCTTCTTCTTTTGGTTTGACGCAGGCTCGAAAACTAAAATAGCGCATTACCGCCATCCACTGCTAGCATCTTGAAGAACATATTTAAACTCGAACGATTATTATTATTATTATTATTATTATTATTATTATTAATACTATTACTTTTGGGATGTTTGTCATTGCTTTTGTTGTGTTTAATTTATTTTATTTTCTACATTTGTGAACTTAAATCTCTCTCTCTCTCTCTCTCTCTCTCTCTCTAGCATTACGGAGCAAAAACAATGGGGATACAGTAATAATAAATAAATAAAATAATGATTAAAAATTGCAATTTATTTTGAAAAAAGCCATGCAAATGAAAAAAAAAAAATTTGTGCTAAATGATGCTAATAAATGTAAACCCGAATAATATATTCTGTAGTTTAATTTTTTTATATTTAAATTTAAATGTAATATTTTAATATTGAAGTTTTTTTTAAATTTTCTTTCGTAATGATGCTAATAAATGTAAACCCGAATAATATATTCTGAAGTTTAATTTTTTTATATTTAAATTTAAATGTAATATTTTAATATTGAAGTTTTTTTTAAATTTTCTTTCGTTCTTTAGTGATTTAAAACAACAAAACATTACAACAATAGACATATTAATACTAGGGGAGCAAGGGGGGAAAAGAAGAATTAAATAATATATTGTGAAGAAAAAGGGGGAAAAGAATTTACAGTTGGGTTAAAATGAAATTGAAGTCTTTTTTTAACATAGGCTACACCAACTTCTTTAGTTACAGGATCTTTCAGTCAGCAGTGACAGCGCAACTGCAGGAATGGTGCGTCAGGTGTGTGGCGAGCAGTTATTTGACTATCATTGTATGGCAAATGAGCACCCCGGGACACTTTCTAAGGAGTTATTCAAAGGAGATTTTGAAGGAGAGCTGTTTCATTTCAATATAATGGATCACCGGACTGTTTTGCTGGTGTTTTTCTGCTTTCTGCTCGTCACTGTGCGCTCAGAAGTGCAGAAAGATTTTTCACCTGAATGCCGTGAATTCATGTATATGGGCACGCCCCCGCGGGGTCTGGAGAACCGCTCACTGAAAAAGATCTGCCAGCGTTATAACGGCAAGCCCCGGTATGTCACTCTGTATGATGTGGTGGATCACATCCCGGTGTATTCTGCATACACTTTCAAACGCTCCGACGGCTTCAAGAAGGTTGATGTTCCTTGGATGTTCGAGCCTCAGGTAACCAGTTCTCATTTCACTCATAATGAGTAAAGTTTTAACCACTGTATCAATAGCTTTGTAGACTTGATGCACAAAAACAAGGCATGAAAAACAAGGTTTAGATTTTGAGCAATTCTTTTCAACTCAACCTGCTGAAAAAACTGAACTGATCTCATCTGGTCTATTATTTTGGTCTGTTGGCTGGTTTTAAACATGCTTCGGGCACTTTCCAACTGGTCAGACTGTGAAACCAGCTGCCAAACAGCTAAACCAGTTGAACACCATTTTGGCCATGCTGTGAGACCAGTTTAAACCAACTAAGACCAGCCAGCAAGCCATCTTAATCTGTTTTTACCAACAGGGAAGCTGATTTGCATCAAACAAATTTAGGCTGATTGTATAGTTATATTTTCCATAAGGTACATATTTTATGTACCTACTGTTTAAAATATCTTGAAATTCTGTTGTTGTTGTTGTTGTTGTTGTTACATAAATATTCTGTACTCTCTGTAGCTCTCCACAGAATCAGACTCTGGTGAGATGCAGCCATTTCCTCCCAATGATGTCCACGACAGTTTTTCAGACGCCCAGGCCATCTTGGAAGACTACTCAAACATTGTTGATTTCGAACGAGGCCATTTGAACCCCGACGAGCACCAGGCTCACCCCGACGACAAGGCAGCCACGTACACCCTCACCAATGTCGTCCCACAGGTCCGCGAGTTCAACGTGGGCCACTGGAAACAACACGAGCACATCATCCGCCGTCGACTCAACAACTTCTGCCGCGGTAAGGCGTACATAGTCACGGGGGTCACCACGTCTGGTAGGATGATCCGTAGATACAACATCGACCGAGTGGCCATTCCTACCTACCTGTGGTCGGCATACTGCTGCGTAGATTACGATCACAATGCCCCGTTCGATGAGCGATCCAAATTCCCGGTCTTCGCAGCTCATGGGCTCAACGAGAAAGAAGGAGCAGAGGTCATAGAGATGTCTGTGCAGCAACTGGAAGATTTTTTGAAGAAGAACACCTTTGTGGACAAGAGGTTTCAGATTTTCTTTGGGAACTGTGAGCCTAATGATGCCATAATGGCAGTCCAGACTTAGGTGTCTTCATCTTGTTTCTCTATCCTGTTGATACCTAAATTCATAAACAAAAATCTTTCAACTGTTAGAATTGTGTTCTGTAGAATGAATATTCTGCCATACGCTCTTAAATAAAAGGTTCCATATTTTACAACCTAATGACACAGAAAAAGCCATTTTAGATTCCACTGAAAACATTCTTTAGTTCTTTACAAAAAAATTTTGCATCTACACTACCGTTCAAAATTTGGGGTCAGTGAGATTTTTGAAAGAAGTCTATTATTGTTTACCAAGGCTGCATTTATTTGATGAAAGATAAAACAGTAATATTGTGAAATATTATTACAATTTAAAATAACTGCTTTCTATTTTAATATATTTTAAAACTGAATTTGTCTTGTGATAGCAAAGCTGAATTTTCATCAGCTGTCTTCAGTGTCACATGATCCTTTAGAAATCATTCTAATATACTGATTTGGCACTTAAGAAACATTTCTTATTATTATCAATGTTGAAAACAGTTCATGTTTAATATTTTTTTGGAAACCATTATCCATTTTTTTAATTGGAAATTGTGTAACATTATACATGTCTTTTCTGTCACTTTTGACAAATTTAATGCATCCTTGCTGAATAAAACAATTTTATTAAAAACGAACTAACTAACTAACTAACTAAATAAATGAATAACGGACCCCAAACTTTTGATTGGTAGTGTCTGTGCTTTAAAAACCTAGAAATCAATTGAAGAACATTTTGAAAATCAGACCCTGAAGAATATTCCCTAAGATGCATTTTACTTAACTGTGTATGATTATGGGCAAAAAACTAAAATAATTGGATATGACACTATTCACTTTTCATCTTTTTTTTTTTTTTAATTTGAAGGGTAAAAATCTGTATCAATTTCCTTTAGCCTTGACTGATAGAATGAAGATCCAATTTCAGTTTCAGAAATATTTTATATCTTCTAATTAAGATACATGAGAGGACTGAAAAGAGTGATGAAATGAGAGAGATTTATTGACTATAATCATCTGGGGCCTTAGGGGTTTTATTAGGTCCATTAACTTCTTTATAAAACTGCAACAGCTAAATATTTTCTCACTTTGTAAGCATGTTTACTGCAATTTATCTGAATACTGTAACTCCTCTAAAATAAAAATTGACCACTTAATCTTCTCTGTTTGCCTGCAGTCTGTCAATTATCAATATAAAAACATGAAAAACATGACTCAACAACATAAAAGCTCTAGGTGTTCTGGATAAATATTTTCAAAATAAAGCTGATATCAAACTCCTACTGCTTGATCAATTTAAAATGTACACTCTATTGATTCTTTTCAAAGGTAAAAGTTGCTTTTGTGTGTGCATATAAGATTAACAATTTTATGAATGTGAGATAGCTCATGTAGTATCAGATAACCAAATTAAAGTGGCATAAAGAGGCGGTGAACGGAGCCCCATTCCTTCCTAATCCCTTGTTTGCACAGGACACAGACTCCATACAGACAGGCTTATCTCTGTATTCCTTTTTCTTTCATCACCTCTTCACACTCTATTGAGGACTGTTTGTTCTCTCACGATGGCGAGTACAGAATAGCCTGATTTACATTTTATAAGACAGCCATACAAGTCACCCATAAAGATGATTAGCTCTACAGAAAAGAGGACCTGCATTTACATGGAGAAAGAGAGAGAGAATAGTTTGTTCTGGGAATTTGTGATAAGGTTTCTGCACAGCATTTTCCTGAACCATCATGTCTCTCCCTCCTTTTATCGATTACTCCTTCCAAAGAAAGTTGCTGGTTAAAATGAGAGGATTACTATTACTTGTGTGATTTACCCTGGAGTACACACACACACACACACACACACACACACACACACACACACACATGTATCCCAGTATGCAATAGTTAGTAACTACCAAAAGTGGTGCAAGGAAGGTCAACTGGTACACCGGCGTCAGGGACTTGGGTACCCAGGGCTCATTGATGCATATGGGGAGTGAAGGCCAGCCCATCTGGTCCAATCAAATTGCTCAAATTGCTGAAAAACTTAATGTTGGCCCTGATAGAAAGGTGTCAGAACACAGTATGTTATGCATCACAGTATGTTATGTATTGGGCTACATAGCCACTGACTGGTCAGAGTGCCCATGATGACCCCTGTCCACCGCTAAAAGTGCCTACAATGGGCATGTGAGAGTCAAAAGTGGACCATGGAGCAATGGAAGAAGGTTGCCTGGTCTGATGAATAATGTTTTCTTTTAGATCTGATGGATGGCTGGATGCATGTGCATCATTTACCTGGGGAAGAGATGACAGCAGATGCACTATGGGAAGATGGCAAGCTTTGGGATGCAGTGTTATGCACTGGGCAATGTTCTGCTGGAAAACCTTGGGTCCTGGCATCATGGGAATTTTACTTTGTCACATACCACATAATCCCTAAAGATTATTGCAGACCACCCCTAATGGCAATGGTGTTCCCTGATGGCAGTGGCCTCTTACAGCAGGATAGTGCACCCTGCCACACTGCAAAAATTGTTCAGGAATGGTTTGAGGAACATGACAGAGAGTTCAAGGTTTTGACTTGGCCTCCAAATTCCTCAGATCTCAACCTGACTGAACATCTATAGGA